TCACTCTCATTATCCCCCCTCTCCCCCTTCCCTCCCACACTGCTAACTGACCCCCGCGCTCGCTGACCGGACCACGAGATCGACCTGTCATCCGCCGTCAGCGACCGGGTCAGATTATGTCCGCGGCGCCCGAACTGCGCGCCCGTGAGCCCCGCGAGCTTGAGCCTATGCGCTGCCATGGACGCTATCCCCGCGGCCTTGGGCGAATAAATGAGGCGGCGTCGACAACACCACCTTCTCTGAGTGACACCCGCTCAGCGCCGTTCTGGCACCGCGCGAGAAGCTCGCCGCGCACCCAATTTCACACGCATTTCAGTGTGACACCGGGGGGGACCTTATTCATGCTTTCTTCGTTTTATTTTTGTGTAACAACATTAAAAGAAACATGTGATGACAGTCTTCTAACAACATAAACTAGCCGTTAGTTATACATATCCAACACATGGTGTGGAGCTTTATTTCTTTAGAAAGAGAAACCTTTTTACTGGTAGTTTTTGTCTTATTTATTTTTGCTAGGTTGGAGAAAATTTTGCACGCAGGCGAAAGAAGAGGGGTTATTCACCTGGAAGGAGTCTTAAACCCTTTTCGGTTCCGGTCCGCGAAAGTAGTTGCCGCTGCTGCAGCTTCGCCTGACCTGGCCTGCCCGCCAGAGCGAGGAGAAATTCGCAAATCCTGCGTTTGGGTCGGCGCACGATATTGGCGAGGGGAGTGGTGAGCTGGGTTTTGCTCGCATTTCGCACGCAACAGGAAACGATGACGATCTGCTCTTCGCGAAAATGCACTCTCCAGTCCTAAACTACACGAAAAGTAACCTCCGAAAAGGAAGGGGAGCCATACACAGGTTGTATAAAACACAACGACGTGATGTGTAAATATTTTAAATATCCACACAGAGTTCTAGTTCTACAGGGAATAATTAGAAAGTAATGTCCACATTCTAAGTGTTAAGTACTCTCGTCTCGTAATCAACCCACAAAATCTAAGGAGCTGGCTGAGGACGTGCACAGAGCGGGGCTGCGCGCCGTTTGCCTGCAGAACCCCCTCCACCTTAACGCTGGCGTTCGCACTAATTGTGCGCAGTTCAGGGCCACTGCCAAGCAGCTCCGCGCCCTGCCACGCAAAGTGGGCAGCAGCGCGGCGAGGGCTGCTGCTGCTGCTGAGGGGTCTCACGATCAACAATAGGCGAAAATAAACGAGTGGTCGACAAAGTCTCTCACCAACAGACAAACACACGCACACACACACAGGCTTGAGTAGTGTCCACCAAGACCACCACCACTACTACTACGCAGTGCGGGGGCCCGTTTGGTGAACAGCCAGCCGTGATTGGTCGTGTCCAGGCGAGCCCCCCTCAT